CCCACTATGCCACTGGCAGGGAGGAGGGAGAAAATTTGGGAGTGAAGTTGAGCCTAGGAAGAAGGGGGTAGTCGGGGGAAGGTGGGGAAAGGGGGAAGATTTGGGTTTATTTCCCATTACTCTACTCTGTTTTGCTTGGTAATAAATTAGATTTTTCTAAGTCAAGTCTGTTTTGCCTGTGATGGTAATTGGTGAGTGATCTCTCTCTGTTCTTATCTCGACCCATGAGCCTTTCATTCTATTTCCTCTCCCCTGTCCAGCTGAGGAGGGCAGTGATGGAGCAGCTTTGGTGGGCACCTGGTGTCTAGCCAGGGTCAATCCACCACTATGGCCTATTTCTATGCAAGCACAAAGAAACATATGAAATTCAGAGCTAATTTTCCAATTAGTTTTTATTCCTGTTTTCTATTAAAATGATAAAATGGAGACTTCACATAGATTGCTATTTTTTTGTTTTAAAGACTACCTTTCAAAACCAACTTTGTATTTTTCTCTCAGTCTGCTTCAAAGCTCTTGAACTTGCACCGCTGCCAATTATTACTTCCTTGCTGTATCAGGCTGTTAGCATTCCAAGCTCCCACAAACTGTGACTTTATCTTTAGCTGTAGTATAGCCTACCACGTATACCAGCAGTGCAGATTCACAGCTTGAAGACCATCTTTTTGTTTGCATCCCTTTTGTCCTTAGTTAAATCACTCCAGAAGACATTTTTCTGTAATCTGCTCTGAATCTCATCACAAACCTGATAAAACCGTATTCTATTAAACACTCAACTTGAACATCCCCCTCCAAAAGGGTTGGTTTTGTTGGGCTTTGAGATGCAGCTATTTCTGAAATTTGCCTTAGCACCTGATGAAGGGCTAACTGCTATCAGATGATACATGTAGCAAGAATGGTAACTTCTCCTGCTTCACTAATTCTTGGGGAAAATACTTAATATCACTGATTGAAATACCTTCACAGTCCCTGTTTCAAATACCTTAGAAGCTCGTGTTTATTTTACAGAAGTTTAGTAGGATCATGTGCAAGAGTAGAAACTAACTGGAGAGATACTAAAAAAGGAGAAAGGAAAAAAAATTGAGAAGGTTGTTCAATGGATGCAAACAGGAAAGATGTGGCACTTTTTGATAACATGCTTTTACTGACTTGACTCTTGTAAGCTTTCCTTTTTCTTAAGTTCTAACACTGATATGGAAAAATCTGGGCAAAACCACTTCTTCAGCAAATAAATTTCTTACAAAGTAATTGCTTTGGCCAAGTGAAAAGAACAAAGGTTGCGCCATGTTTAAACTAAAAAACATACTAGTATATCATCACTAGGAACTTCAGTAACTTCTCAAAACATGTACCTGCAACATTTTTTTTTCAGGAGGGAAGAAAACAAGCGAATTTTTACAAATTTGTCTCATTCTAATTTTCTCCAGTTGTTCATACCTATCATGAATACCACACACATGCATACAGTAATATATATTGTAATAATGCAGAAAACATTGAAGTTAGTAAAATGCATAGAAAGCATAATTGCCCAATCTCCTTTATGATACCTGTCTTCCTCCCTACATTTTGTCAAATTAAGACCTCAAAAACAACACAATGAGGCAGACTTGAAGAGCATGAAGGTGACAGGCTACAAACTATGGCACCACGTTTGTTTGCAGCATGACTACAACATAGCCCAAAGAAAACAAGAAAAAGAATTTCAACCTGTACATGGCAAGAAATTACAGAAAACAGGGTTTAGCCCATGATTTGGTAGTAAGAATTAACACATCCATCCTAGAACATCCATTACCATCATTTCAACACAACATGTGCCAGCTAACAGAAAAACAACTGTTTGGTTCTGTTTCAGAAGCTTAAAATTGTATAAATAAGTTAACAATGCACTGTGTCATTTTACCTCATTAAAAGTTAATGCAGTTCTGGTTTGTACCTTACTCTGGAAATTTAAGTGTGGCTTATACCTAAGGGCACTGCAGGCGCTCCACTAAAATCTTTACAAAGTAGAGCTGTATCAACTTACAAAAACAAAGTACAATACTTGTGCTTTAACAGTGCTATGCGTGTTTTGAAATGAAGAGGAAATTGGGTTTATTAGACATTAATAATGTCTAAGTGATCATTAGCAATCACAATACACAATCTACAGAACAACTTCTGATGAAATCAAACAAAACACACACAGAAACAGAGCTCAAAATGAACGGTTGAAGTTTGAAACTAGGAAATTCAGTATGCAGGAATCCAGTAAACAGCACGAAGAAAAAAATCTCATTACCTTAAGAAAGAACCTCTTATCTGTCCTAACAGGATTGTAGGAGGCAAGGTAAGCAGCTATTAGAAGAAATTTGGAGTAATAAGGAAGTTCCACATGTGTATGTGCAGAAAGTCCTATAAAATAAACAGTTTATGAGTCACCAAAACCCACTCTGAACATCCACAAACTTCAAATTAGACTTGTTTGCATTCTTCTTTTCCTTCTCTCCTGCTACTATATGAGCATGGCTACTTTCTTAACCCCACCAGCAGAGATATAAAATCAGTGAAGGGCCAAGGCATGGCACGAAGCTAAACAAAACTAACATTCTGAACTCTTTATGGACTCATCTCAGAAACCGTATTTGAAGCATCAGAGATTCATAAATCACTAAGGTGTGATCTCCCCATAAAAAAATAATAAAAAAAATATTCCAGGCTACTTTCATTTAAAGTAATTTTTCTAGCAACAGGGCAGATTAAGAGATGTATTTAAATACAATGGTAAAGCTTTTCTCCAAGACCCAACCTTCAGACTGCTCCAGACTGTGCCAGGAGCTCAGTCAGGAACAGGCCCGGCATGGTGGAGAAAGAAGCAGTGTTGCACTTCTGAGAAACAGTTCAGTATCTCACAATTTTTACCCACTGTTTTATTTCCTACAGAAAATATTTCCAAAATTTTAAACTTGATCCAGTTGACCTAGCCTGTTACATGTATACTTCATTAAGATTAAAGTCTCACACATTAAAACACACAAGAACTACGACCTAGTATTTTCCTTCCCTCTTTTTACTTTTACTTTGTATTTTTTCCCTTTACATTCCTCTGCTCTTGTCACTGTAGCTTATGCATATGAACAGGATGATCAAACCACCTTACTTCATCAGTTGTCTAACCATACAGACCACTAAAGGGTCTCTCTTGTGCCTTCTTTGCTTACAGGTTTTCACTTCAATGGTTTCTCATTCTGTGAAGTACCCGTTACCATTATGCTTTAATCCACAGATATCAGCAAATAAAGATCAAGTAATTAAGCATGTTTAAAAATTAAGATTCAGACCCCTCAGTGAGAAGCATCCTAGATGACAGCTAGCAATAATTTCCTCTCACATAGGCACAAAAGGAGAGCAGTTTTAGTTTCATTTACAATCAAGAGACTATTTTGTATTGCATGTTAATTACAAAATGCAACACCAAATAAACTCTTACATACAGACAACTTAGTTTAATACAGAAATATCTGTTTCTGCTACATTCTTCTGGTCTGCCAATATTGCATCACGCACTGAACTATTTGCTTAATTACATCCACAGTAAAATTTATTACAACTGCTTTTTATGCATGTTATTATTAAATGATGTTTACCAACCAGGCAATTTTTCCTACTACATAAACCTAAAAATCCTAGAAAAATGTGCTTTGAATAAAATTTCCCTTTTTGGGGTTGTCAGGTGCAAAAGTATTTCATGGTCATCTGGGCACAGCAAAATGGCGTTTAATACAAACACTTTGAATCAAACTCCTTTGGTCAACAGTATCAAAAAATTAAACGCTGATTACAAAGCAAATATTGGAAACAATCTGATAATTGCAATTATCTTAAGACAACTGTAAAAAGTGGCTCTTTTACGTACTATCTAAAGAAGAATTTATTTGTCATGGAAGAAGTGTTCCCAAACTAAGAACTGGTCAAAAGACCACGACCAACTGACATCACCAGGAAAACGTTCTAGTCTTCCTTCCTAAATTGTACATGAAGGCCAACAGATACATTGAGATTTGACTTTCAAATCTGCTTGAAGTATACAACTGACAAAGCTGTACTCATCCAAGGAAAGAACAGAAAGAGTTCTTGCAATTCTGACATTTCTTTGCCAAGAAATAAGGACATAGGACACCTGTTTTGTTTATGAAAGTGCTAATCCAGTGTAATGCATCAGGTGTAACATTCCCTTCTACCCACGCAGATAGTTGGCACACAGAGGTTTGACCATCAGTAGTCAGGCCATTCCTTATCCATTCTTACATTAGAAATACTGATTTAAAGAAGTCTGCTTTTACCCATAAAGGACCTTTAAGAAAGATTACTCCCAGGATATATGCTAGGGGAAAAAATACTAACAGTCCTTTGTAGAACACCTTCTCAAAAAACATGATTAACCTGAACTGTAACTGAATGCTAATAGGTAGCCTTGTCTGTATAATTTCATTCACACATTATCAGATAACAACACCAAGTCAATCTGAAAAGTACACATTTCATGTTACAAGCCCCTACAGAGTTACTGTATTTGATACCTTTCAACTGCCCGGGTTCTCCGTCATCACGCTGTAAGCGCTCCCACTGTGAGCTGAGAGACAGATAATGCACATATATAAAGACCAAGTATTTGTTAGTCTTTTAGAGAAAACTACCTGCTTGGTATACGTAAATTTTAATTTCATGACACTGGCTAGGATACAGTTAGTAAGAGAATAATTAAAAAAATACAAGTCTTACTCCCTTGCACGTAACTTTCAATTATGTGCAGACTACACATATTTGAAAAAAATGCAGAAAGTAATATTATAAGAAGGTATAAAAGTGAGTACAATTGTAAAACATCAATTTCTTTCCATCCAGCTACCATCAGCAAACAAATATCAATAGTGTTCTAAATTTCAAGAACAATGCAGAATTGGATAAAAAGTAAAAACACTGATAGTTTTAATTTTTTTTTTCATCTGCTTAATAATTGTTTATGCTAGTGAGGACAGTATTATAATTACTTCATAATGTAATTTTGAAGTCTACGTAAACCACAAAGCAATATTGATTCTTCACTGAAAAACTTTGAAGAGTTCAAGACAGAACATTTTGTCAGTGAAAAATGTCTGCAAGTAGCTTGGTGTTTTCCTAAACAAGAGAAAAAAAATTCACTTAAACTCTCCTCAAGGAAAGAGATTGTTAGAAATGTGATGATTTTCATTCAACATTTTGTATACCACAAGGGGATAAAAAACCAGGTTTGTTAAAGCACCAGTAATTATTTTTTAAAGATCTTTATGAATAGGGTTTACCAGCCATAAAACTTATGAAAACAGCTTAATGAGAGCTGATGTAATACAAAAATATAATGAATGATCAACGAAATTATCAATGAGCAAAGTTTTTGTCCAATGTCTATTTTACAGGTAGAAAAAAAAAGTTTTATTTTTATCTCAGTTCAGGCAGCACAACAGCCAATTCCAAAGTTCTACTGCTACAACTTACAACTTGAAGAAAAGCGCAGAGTAATCACAGTTCTGTGACCAGAAAAATTGATATGGTCATTTTAATTCCTCAAGCATTTACTGGTTACACAGAAGTAAATCCTAGAACTATTATGCAGAAAGCTGAAATTTATAATAAAAAACCCACTAAAGCTCAAATTTATAACCAAAGAAAACTGTAAAGAGGGAAAACTAGTTATTTGGAAACAATTCATAAGCCATTTCATATTATAATCTTATATTACACCCTAATTAGAGTAGGCAATTACACAATATAAAAAGTCAAAAAGATCCTGAGTAGACTGTGTAATGAAGATCAATATTGAATATAAATACATATTTGAGGCAAATAGAATAATTCCTCATTGTACAGTGAAGTCTAGTTCATACACAGTAAAATCAATTCTCCTTTTGAAACTTTTCCAAAACATTTAGCGAAGATGTCTACCATACACCCAGGTTCAGTTATCAGAACACTCAATGGCCTCAATGACATTCAAAGGAAAGAAATCATTAGGTTTGTATCAAGATAAAGAAACAAACGCTACTGAATTCTCTCTCTTTACATGGCGTAACATCAGAATCACCAATATTAATGATGGAGAAGACACTGAAGCCAATTGCTACCATTAAAAAATGAACAGCACCACCTTTTTTCTAGCAGTCTGACAAATTAAGAAATAAACAAGGAATCTAAAACCGTATCAAGAGAAACTCAGCCCATTAGCAGGACATCAGTTTTTAATGCTGTCAAAAATGATAATTCCATATAAGGAAAATTTTGCCCTTGGACAAGAAAAGAAGCGGTTAAAAAGCACAGCAAACATACAAACCTAACTCTAGTAAACAAAGCTAAGGAATACAGATGTTCAAAATCTGTAACGTCTCCTAAGAATTTTGAGGCATCTTTGCATGCATCTTTCATACCATCAACTTTACAAGTGTGTTTTCAACTGTGCCTGTATATTCCAGTGATGGATTCCCATGCTTGGCAGTTCCACACGTGACAAAATGGATCGACATGATCATCAGTGAAAAAAAAGAAAAGAACACAACTTGCTGCCACTGCTTTACTTATTAAATATTTTATATGCTACAAATACCATTTTGTGTAAAAACTTCCTCCTGAGATACCTTATTTCTAACATTATATGGCAAGAAAGAAATGCACGCTGAAGAGAAAAAAAGATTCTATCTAGCAAAAAAGAAACACTAGCCATGAAACATAATTGAGGGAATAAATATTGAGAGAGGAAGCTTGTTAAAAACAGCAACATCAACGAAACAAACAAGCCCTTGCTCCCCAAATTACCTGGATATTTCCCGGAGATAAACAGTCTGCATTGCCTTCTTCAAATGAGGTTCAATATTTTTCCAGAGTTTGCGGGTGTCACGTTCATTTGCTGCACCAAACCAGAATCAACTCCTTTAAATGTTTAACTCACAGAACACTAGAACTCTATCTCTGACACTTGAACAGTCACAGGCATGACACAGTAAGTCTAACACCCTGTGTGAAATGCTGTATTAGGATGATGCACCATCATCACTCATTTGCAAGCACATGCTACTGCGCAAGGCCGTTTCTCTGTGGTTGTTCTGAGATACTCTGGGACAGTTTGGCAGAACCTCTGCTCTCATTTTCTCCTCTTAGCCTTGACAGAGAAATGACTTATCTCGTTGCTTTGAGGAAATCCTGGCCATTGAGTGAGGAGAAAGATTTATAGGGAGGAAGCAAGTTTTCACAGTATTTCCATCTTATTTCCATAGAACACCACCAACAAATGTCATCTACTCCTGCTACAAGCGCTGCCTCCTGGGTGCAACTGGAATAAGCAATGCTGCTGTGACCAGAGAAATAGTCACAACATAACGAGGATCAAAGCAAAGTCCTCCACAAAACCCACAGGAGGGTACCTGCACTCTCATACACCTGCTCAAATTAAAGACAGAAGCTTACCTTCTCCTCTGACCACGGGTTCACAGTATTTAGAAAAATTAAGCACTGCCTACAGAAAGTAAAAAGTACAACATATTAAAAAGATACAATATATTTGATCTAGCTACAGAATATAACAAGCAGTGTAATTCATTATTTTGCAAAGCCAATGAATTATTTTTCAGTCAATAATTATGCTGCTTGCTTCCAAACATTATACTGTAAAACATCACATTTCTGTAGACTAAAATACAAATAGAAGTAATCTATCACAGGTTACTTGGTTATGATCTCAGTAAAATGTGTTTACTGTACTCAGAGATTGCTTTTTTTTTTTAAAATAACATAGTAATTAAACATTATAAATGCAATAAAAATGTTTTCATCACCTTTTTTTACTCCCTTCTTTTTCAGATAAAACTTTCCATTCCAGGAGCAGTTCAGCATGTTCAAAAGTATACCACATATACTTACACACACAAAAGCAGAAATTATTTAAAAAAAAAAAATTGAAAAAATAATTTAAAAAACCCTCTGCTAACACATTCCATATTCAAACAAACTCCTTTTGCCTAAGGTAACATTTTTTACAAGGTTGTAATCTAGATTTTTTTCTAAAATGGTTCAATCAATATCACACAGAATTTTGTAAAATAAAAATCCTCACATTTCATTCTCCTTTTTTCCTACTGCACCTTATTAAATCTCTGTGCTACTATATAGAACTCAATGCAATAACTTCCATATATAAATCTAATACAATTTCAGAATGTATTATTAATCATGCATAATAACATACACATTTAGAGTTTGTATTAGACACTATGGAGTTGTTCAGAAGCCTACAGACAATTGCATGTCTGTTGTTACCTTCTACAGAAAAGACTTGTCAAGCACAAGAAGAATTTAGTGTTCCATTACATAAATCGTTTCATACTGGTGGTATTTCCCACATACACAAACAATGCACCTAAGGCTCATGAGATTATTCTGGTAAGGAGAGCAACTCCAGTACCTGTCTAGAAGAACTGTGACCCTAGTTTCTATTTGTGTCTCCATCAGATTTCAGCAATCTCATTTAAACATAAAACCTGTACAGTTAACAGATAGATTAATCTGAGTACATTTTCCTGATGGAAATGCAGACAGGACATTCAGATCACCTCATGAGCACTGATTTGTTCATTGGCCATAACCACTGACCACTTCAAACTTGTAAAATTTCCTTGTACACAGTATAGTTAAATAATAATCTGATGAGCTAATAATTGATATTTCTATTCAGCTTTTCTTATGCAAAGGTCACCATCAAGTAATTTTTATTATTCTCCTGTTAGCTTGTTTGCTATTACATTCTTCAATTGATATATGGTTAAAACTCCTTTTTCAAAATATCTTCAATTTTTTTTTGTTCCCTCAGCCATGACTATATTGCAGGAACTTTGACTTACCCATTTTATTCTTAATTACAAAAGGAAGACAACGAAAACATTTATGTCAGTCCTCACTTCTCTAGGCCTTTGAGTCAAATTAATATGCTATGTTTCTGCAAAACTGTGCAACAGATCTGGCTTGTAGCAGTTTGGTTACCTTAAAATCCTCTGTAGGAGGCAAATCAAGTGAAAATTTTATACTCCTAAATAATATAGGAAAATGTTTCAAATTTTAAGTTAAATTTTAAATTTTATTTCCCATAAAGCTGAAGTATAAAGAATGTTGGGTGGCAAGGTACATTTAATAAACACGGGAAACAAATGAACTTGAAGCTGGACATGCTCAGAGCAAGTAATTGAAGTTACTCCTTCAAACATTGAAAGCAGCTGTTTGACATTCCACTGCACAGTCAAGGAAATGAATACAACATAAGGCTATTTAGGGATTACAGAAGTTCACAGGAGCAAGAAGGTAGCAATAAGAGTAAAGCCACATAACCACACGTAAAAAGAACTTGAAGAGAAAAGAAGCACAGTGAGGACTATGATTGCTTGAAAGAGTAAAATCATAACTATTACTTCCTCTGACTGAATAGCAAACAAACAAAAAAAAACCCCATTAACCAAGTCTGTAATGGAGTTGTCCCTCAAACTGCTACAGTTGTAACAATTCCTTCTATTATACTTATAAGTAAGCATAAAAGGTTTCACCACATTTATCTCCTTATCCCAAGAGGTGAAAATAGGTAGCCTAGTCTTCTCAGTCACTCTCTGACATCAAGGAACGGCTTGACCTCAAAAACTCCAACAGAAGTTCTAGGCTGAGTGAACCACATGCAGCCTGGCATCTCATTCGTGCAGCTTTTGTGGCCTCTGACCAGAAAACTACATAGCAATGGAAACCCATTTGATTGCCACCAAAACAGCTGCAACCTTTGTTATGGATTTTTAGGAAAACTGCGTTTTGACCTAACATATTCTTAAGAGGGTAGATTTAAACTAGATATAAGGAAAACATTTTTTACAATGAGGGCAGTGAAACACTGGAACAGGTTGCCCAGAGAGGTTGTGGATGCCCCCTCCCTGGAAGTGTTCAAGGCCAGGTTGGATGGGACTTTGGGCAACCTGGTCTAGTGGAGGGTGTCCCTGCCCATGGCAGGGAGGGTGGAACAAGATGATATTTAAAAGGTCCCTTCCAACCCAAATTATTCTATGATTCTATGATTTTCTCTTTGTCCATATTCAACAATAAATCTAGACTTTCAGAGCTTATTTGACAAAAACCAGCCCAAACCAAAACATCAACTCTAAAGGAGGTCATCTCACCAAATGCTGAAGTTCCTTCAGGTCCCTACAGACCATGTAGAAGACACCAAGCAGAATATTGATATATGCGGCATAGAAATCTGCAGAATATTCTGGGGGATGATTCTGAGACAAGATCTTCTGCAGGTGTCCTGTTTAAAAAAAAAAAAAAAGTGTTGCTTATTTAAAGCTAACTTAATAAACTGACCACATTTTACAAGTTAAGTGCAGAACAAAACTATAATAATCACTAAGAAACCCCAAATCTGCCACTTTTAATCCACTGATTAAAATATAATCAGCAAATATAATGGAACCAAAATGTTACTTTGAGATCTTTTGGCAAGCAGAAAAAGACAACAAAAGAGGCTGTGTGAATACAGGCTTTTACATTCCAGTAGCTATTTCATATTCAGGATTCTGTAAAAGGCATATTGATAAACATGGAAAAAACACTTGAATGTTGTTTAACAAAATATTATTCAATCCCTAAAAAAGCAGATTAAAGAATTAGTTTACCTATGCTGTAATCAGGAAAATACAAGGTGAATGGCTCAAAGCATCCAGTATTTGGACGGAACAGCTCCCATACTATTTCACTGAGCAGGACAACTGTCACATTTCTGTCAGTCTACACAGGGAAGAAAAGAAGGGAAAAAACCAACAAAAAGGAGACAGATAAGCAGAGAAAGAAAAAAAAAAAAACCAACACTGCATGTTATAGTATCAAGGCGAAAAATTATTATTGTGACTTTTCTGTTCCATAAAAATCATTAAATTTACGGTTTAATACAAATTACTAGCATAGTAATAAAGCTTCAGCTGGTCTAATCGAGAAGCTCATACATTTGTAGATTTTCATAATTACATGAGATTTCTCTGCCTCCCTTGCCATTTCACTGACATGTAAGCTTTGTAGGGCGATAGAGCTCTGATACTAGGCAATACCAAGTAGATTCCATCCCTTACTCCCAAAATTAAAACAACATTTTACTTCAGTAATTAAACCCAGATTTTCAGAACAAACAGGATGAGTTAAAAAGTGAAATAAAGCTCAGTGCTTTCTGAAACCGAGCTATCTAGTACTTTATTTTAAAGGTAAGGGAGTCTTTAAAAACAAACAAAAAACATCCCAAAACAAAAACATAGTATTAACTATGTACTTTACCACTGTTTTACTAGTTACCAGCAAAGGCTGTATATAGTAACTTTTTTTTTTTAACCCAGTTTTTATTGGCAATATACTTGCCTTGAGTTTGATGTTTTGGTCAATAGATAACAAAACACTTCATATTAAAAAATTATTCCTTATTTTGGTGACCATTCTATATATCAGCTTTTTCGTATGAAGCCAACTATCTGTGAAGGTGATGACTCATTCTTCCTTCTTGCAAGGTTTTTGCAATCATACTAAAAATTCTGCACAACAAAAGATGCTTTTAAGTATGGCCCTTCAAGAAAGACATTTCAAAACAATTGAGGCACCCCAAGAAAATGAAAGGAAGTAACCTGATTGAATTGACAACGTTTAATATGAGCTGAATTTTAAATGTTATTCCCCTTCTCTGAAATTCAGGGAGAATCTTCTTTTATTTACTCTTCCCACTTCTTGCCAAAGTGGCACTTGCCCACATTCTTTACTGTTTCTTCTTTCTCTACTTTTTTGGGACCTTTTTTTCTTTTAGCAAGAGAGCAGCTTTCAGTAGATTTCTTTCAATTGTGTTCCTCTCCCAGATTTCCTAGTATTTTAGCTGAGAAAAGTACTAAGGTATTTTCAGTTCAGTTCCTGACAGACCTTCCAATATGAAAAAATGAAGTACTTCCCACTATAATCCTCACAGAAATCAAGCATCCTACATGATCATTTTTCACCAACGATCCCTGGTCCCATGAAATCTTTCACCACTAATGAAGTTTCTTGTCTGCTTTCACTCCAGGAAAAGAAGTGACGCAGTACATTTGCTCCTACAACATTCCTCTGCAACATCAGTTGCATAACAGTTTTACAAAGCCTCAGTTCAAAATCCAGACTTAAGCAAGTGGAATGTCAGCATTCAGGAAAGCTGACAAATTTATTTCAAGACTACTTTTTAATTTGAGGGTGTTTCTCTAGCATATTTAAGTCTTAACGTATGTTTTTTCACTCCCTGAACAGCAATCAGAGGCCTAAGTTTTCCTCCTTTCTGTCAGACAGGTTGCTTCTGCTTCAAGGGCAGCAAAATCCAGAACATGGGCAGAACAGACAAGAAGACCCAGAAAATGCATCAGCTGCCAGGATTAAGAACACAGCTGTGAATCAGTCTTCATGCACTAAATAAGAGAAATCAATGTCACCAAAACAGTACCACGCAAAAGTCTTGAGATAATAAGAATAATTTCAGCTATTTAGATATTCAGACATTTCAAAATACCACCACCTTTGTCTCCACTTTCTTTTCAGGGAACACACTGTTTTTCCTTATTTCAAGGCATAAGCTTTGCTACTTCAGAAGTGAGAGAGGGAAAGATACAGAGGTTTACTCCAATCAGAAATATACTGTGACGCAATTCCAGTAGGGTGTAAAAATTCTCTGCCATCAAAAAGCACATTTGTAGCTGCTGAGCTGTGCAGTACCAGTCAGAATTAAATAGCTGGTGGTCTACTGACAATCCTCAGGCCAGCCACCATGCAATGCTGAAGTTTCACGTGGGAGAATCTTGAGGAAAACAAATCCTAGAATCCTAGAATGGTTTGGGTTGGAAGGGACCTTAAAGATCATCTAGTTTCCCAGGGCAGGGAAACCCTCCACTAGACCACGTTGCCCAAAGCCTCATCCAACCTGGTCTTAAATGCTTCCAGGGATGGGGCATGTTTCCCGAGTTACAAATTCACGCTTCTGATGCTGAATTCACTCCATGTGGTTGGGGTCTCTTGAATCAGCAGCTGACTCAGAAGCAGACTTTGGATTCCCACACAAACATCTGACAAACTCCAAAAGGGGTTTTATTTATATCAAGCTAATAGGAGCTATATTGAAGCTTCTCCTTATAGATTACAGTCTGCCTGAGATATTTTTCCTGCAATTATTAAAAAACTTTAAATGAAGAGTAGAAAAATTGCATATTCTTAAGAACAAAAAGCTGTCTTTTCTAGAAATATATGTACCTGACACCAGCCTCAAAAGAATCTCCAACAGATCAGATATTGTAGAACCAGATGTTATTAAATAGAATTTATTTTTTTAAAAAAGTGTTTAAAAAACCTGCTAATGTTTAAATTCTGGTTTTGTTTCTAGTTTTGATCACTGCCAGTTGATTATTTTGGGGGAGGGATTAATTTTGCAATTTTTCTCATCTAAAGAATCACTTATTTTGATCTGTGAGCCTAGATGGACAGATACCAGTTCAGTTAACTTTCAATACACAGGAAACGTATGATGAATTTTTTTTCAGACACTTACCAACTCTTGAAGCCTAAGAAATGCTGGCAGGATGTTTGCTTCCATTTCCCTCAGCTGCTCTGCTCTATCCAGTACCTTTTAACAAAACAATAATCTTATTTTTTATATATATAGACAATGTCAACTTCCATTCTCAGGTGGACTTAAAATTAATTCTTAGCTGCTGGAAACTCATTTCACTGATGGCTCTTAGACAACAGAAATCACCTAAGTATCAAGACCTCTTAAACAAGCAACATCAAAGACATTATTGCTTCAGGTGCACTTCCAGGAAGCCCAAGCAGCTCTACCATCTATCAAAAGATACAGTCCTCAGGCAAGCAACATTCTTATGCGTTATGGCAGTTAGAATTAAAATGTAAGTATACCTGTCAAGAATATCACTGATAAAGCCATGATATCATTAACCACCACTGAAATCTCATTTTTTTGTCCAAAATAATTCTTATATTTAAAAATTACGTGTAGTGCTGTAGCACTGTATCAAAATGCTCACTGTAGGAGAGCTATCTTTTCCCACTATTAAATTATTTTTCAGAAACAAATAAAAGCTGATATTTTCAAAAAGTTAGCTATCATCTGGAATTTTGAGAGAAACTTTTCTTGCCATAGTTTGCAGCCTAGAAATTTACAGGATTTATTGTATTGTATGTAAACCTGGCAAAGCACTATCAAATATGTAGCATATATATAGCTTAAACAGGAAACACTTTATCTACTTGGTGCCTAGACTAAAAAAAATAGAAGCATGAAAACATGCATGGCTATCCTTTGGCAAAAAAAAATTTGTATTCCCAGTACACTTAAAATCTTTACAGAAGTGAAAAAAAAAAGAATAGAAACACATTTCTTTTGTGTTTTATTTACAACTCACAATATAAATCTAAATTCTGACTTCATTACTTCTTTTGAATTACTGCTGTTGAAAGAGAAACTATAGGTCCCTAGAAAATTATATTTTTCTATCCTTTTACATTTCCTCCAAAATATTAAGACATGTATCATTTCTGTTGTCCACAGTAAGAAAAAGAATTTTATGCGGACAACCAAGAAATATTTTATGAAAACGGTATTTCAAAATCACACTGTAGACGGAAAAAACCTGAAAGAGCAGCATCTCTGCAATAATAGCTCAAACTTCTTGGGAATTTATCTAAAACTACAATACAACATATGATTTTATATTGACATCTGCATTTGAGTCATGGGATGAAGACTGCTTTACATTACTGACCAAATAAAGGCTACATATTTTTACTAATAAAGTACTTCTTACTGGACCCAGCATGCAGCTACTGAACACCAAGCTTCAAGGTCTTCACCTAACCAGATCTTACTTTTTACTTAAGTGTAAAATAAACTAGAGTTTCTACTTACCGCAGAGAAAATATACTGTGACCCTGGCTTGTGGACCATGTCAAGTGGTTCACAGAAACAGCCTACCCCAAGGCCTATAAATCCATGCCTTACTCTTTAGTTTTAATATAGACATGATCCTGTAGCTTTTTTTAAAAAACTATCCATTTTAGAACTATCTGCTGACTTACATCAAAAGCAGCAGCTTGTTATTCCTGTAAAGTGCTAAATATTGTAAATGTATGAATGACTATAACCTACATCTGTTCCAGTTTTTCAGGTAGTTAAAAGGAATAAATTAATTTTTCACAAGTAATCACAAGCATTCAGCACCCATGCTTAGGTTAAGAGAAACATTTAGAAGCCTTTGCTTGAAAGAAAACATTTATCTTAATTTGCTCTGAGTTAACTGGGCTGAAATATTACATTATTTACTACCAAAATGAAATAGAATAAATTAGCATTGCCAGTTTATGTTACCAGCATGCTGGTCTTCCATCAGTCTCAATTTAAACCACTCTACAATAAATCCAGATGACACAGGTTAATACACATAAATTGATTTCTCCCACTCCTGTCTGTTCCCATGCAGAACGGAACTCAAATACTAATTTAATACTTAATTCTTCTGTTTCAGCAACTATTTACATGATACAATTGAACCTTTCCAAGTATTTAATGGTTTGCTTTCTATAACCATTGTTCATGAACTTTCTAATTTTCTGAGTGATACAAATTTTCATATAATACATGAAGCATTCTTTACTGATGTAGAACAGCTTTTTAATTCAAATATTAATCTGAAAGTAAAATTTTACTATATATTCTGTGAAATTCCCTAAAGGTTATTTTAGTGCTAAATTCTGTTCTTATGGAATAGTTGAAGGATGCCAATAGCACTTTTGTGACAGTAAATTAAAATGAATTATCTATGTATAACTTCTTATCTATTGTAAGTACTGGTGCATTTTTTCTTCATTCAATTTTTAAGAAGCATGTCAAATTTATTAACTTCATGAGCTGTAGGAAACGATGAGATAGTACTGTTGCCACTAAATATAATATGAAGTTATTTAACTCAGTAGTTAAGTATTTTTAAATGGAAATAAAACTTATTTAACTCCAACCTGTGAAACAGCATGAAGAATGTTCAGTGTAATTACGAACTTCTTGTTTGAGTGCAAAAAACCAAAGCAGTATTCCTGTTGACTGCTGTGACAAACATGCAGTGATTACCGAGGGTTATTAAGCTTTCAGTCTTGAACCACTTCCATGTTTTCTTAAATGATAATTTTGCCTCTTTCAACAAACCCTTAATTCCTACTGCTGGGCAGAAATTTCAGTCCATGTGTTCTGTAGGGCCATAGTGCATATATACAGTTACACATCACTAATACCATGGCGTTTTTATTTTTAAGAAAAGATAATAGATTTTATTCAATCAAGTGAGAGCTGGAAAAAAAAATGTAGTTCTGAGGAGTCTATGCACTTTCTTCAGACCTCTTGTATGCCTGAATTTTGTTTCTATGTCCATCTCTTGGTACGATAAATGCTGTTACAGATGTCCACAAATTTTGACTCCTTTATGTAATAATCACAGAAAAAAAACCCACAACAAAACAAACCCTGGCATTCTTGTATTACATTGATTCAATTATTCTTGTGATCTAAATTCTGTTTACTTTTCCTGTGGTCTGTTTATTCCACTTGAGTATATCATCAAATTTTTCATTGCTGTCTTTTTCCATCTCAATTTTCAAATTAGTTCTTGTCTTAGGGTCACAAGTGTAGTGGAAGACATACAACCTCAACAACACTTTTACAGAGGAAATTAGGCATTTTAGTTCCTTAATACAATTTGAACCTATTCTAGCTAACCAATTCTTGTCATTTGCATGCTCCATAATTGGCTTCTGCCCTACTTGCCATCTTTGCTTTCTCATTTGTGAAGATGTCTTCACAAGGAAACAGATAAGCATCACTTACTAATTATAAAAAAAATACAAGGTCTCTATATTTAAAGATTTTGTAATGTTATAACATACTTAATTTAACTATGCAATATAATTTATGTTCATTATTAGGTTTTGTGTATAAAAAGTTCTAAATCAGCCCAGGAAAAATAACGAACCTCATCTACAGCTAGTAAACCAACTGAAAGAATCTAACCAGCATCAACAGATTCTAAATTAGATCCACACAGAAATTTTGTGAAAACTGCTCTATAATGCACATATTTCATATACAAATTATTGATAACAATTACTCACACCCTCTTAAGTGAAATGAAACTGAACACTATAATGAAATTACTTACAATGTATAATGTTTGATCCTGAAGCTCTTGACTCACAACAGCTTGTTTAAACAGACGTACGAAGTCATTGAAAGTATCACAACGCACATGAGAAGTCTGTTCTGGCTCAGAAGAACAGCTTTGCAACTGGATGAGAATTTCTTCTAAAAGAAGTCGTGAAGTAAAGTATTCCACACAGTTCACAAACACATGAGGAAGCTGTAGAGGATTAAAAAAAAGATACAACTTCATTTGGCTTTTTCAGTGTAAATACTCCAGAATCAGTTTTCTCTTCCAGATGAGACAATGAAAGACACCACACCTTGCCAACAGAATGTAGAGCATAAACCAACAAACCTTGCCAAAAGAGAATGATTACTTATGTGATACATAATATTTTGACTAGGTACAAAGTGAAGATAGATCTGATGAATCCTCATACAAAACACAGTGTACCTTCTAATTATGTTTAAAAACTGAAACACAGTCTATTTTCTAAGTATGTTTAAAAATTGTGAGCAATACATAAAAAGAAAGCCAGATAGCATTTAGTTCAAAGAAAAGTTAGACAATCATAACACATTACAGTATTGTAAAATAATCCGTTACAAATTACAGTGTCTAGATAACACGAACTTCTCACAGCACACTCCCCAAAATTACTCTGAATGTTTTTGGCATTCACTGCATATAAATGATAAAGTGTAAGCTTCTGTACCAGCCATGTAATCAGCCTGCTTGTGCAGAACATTTTTAGAAAACCAGATCTTTTCAGAGCAAAGAGCATGCATAAAAAGGACAATATGAGATACATTTTATGGATTGCCATAAAATGTACTTATAAGTACCAATTTAGTAACATTGAAAAGTTAAGGTCATTTGTCTATAAACAGAAGACACTATAGACTACAAAACAGTACCAGTATGCAAACATAAGGCAAAAATGTAATTTCCTAGCAACTCAGTTTTTAAGAAACAGATTATTTGCATAGCTCCATAGTTTCTGGTAAGGCATATGCTCTTTCTTACACTGAACATTAAAACCTCTGGAAAATATTAGTCATTGGAATGCATATGTATTACTTGCAAAATTAAACTTCTAATACAGGAATGTGTGTGTATAATAAAAAATTCTAAGTATTTAATTCCAGTCTTTCTACTCAAAATACAATATATGGCAAATGATTCAGCAGATGTGGGATATGGGTATATGCTGGCAATCCACACAAACAGCATGTAATACAAGCTTTCTTATGATTTTGAACACTATTAAAAGGGGCTACATCTCCAAAAGCACCTACTGAAAGTGCTGCACCTCCATAGCAGGAGAACTGGGTGCCTCAGATGCGATTCACAACACCATGTTATATAGGAGACACCTATACTTGGCAATAGGAAGTTTTCTAGAAAGAGTTGCTGCTTAAACCCCATTCCTTTGCAGGATCTGGCCACATCTTTGGGTATGCTGCAAGATGGTAGCACAATGTTAGGAGCACTGCACAAAAGGCTACAGCATGAAAGAGGATCATGACCACTGTCTTCCACCTTTCTCTCTCTGTATATTTTTTAATAAAAGGGACAAGATCACTGTGTTTTGCATAAAACCCAAGTCTGCAGATATATGATAAATGCACTCTGGTTATGCCTGAAGTATCAGCGCTCTGAGAACACACAAGTGGAAATTTATAGTTTAGGTGGGAAGCAGACACTGTCATTGGATTTAAATCCCTTAAGTACAGGACTGACACAAACATAGGCACTAACAGGTTTAGATGGAAACTTCTATTACGACGTCCTTCAACTTAGGAGAGCTTCAAAAACCTGTTTTGGGAAAAAATAGAACAAGGAATAAAACTAGCATGAATATACACATTTGCTAGCAGGAAAAGAAGGGCCACAAAAGTGGCAACAGCCTAGTACTTAAAAGTCTTCTTCCAGCACTGACCAGAGAGGGACTGCAATAGACTTAAGGCCGTACCTCTCTACATCATTCTTCAAGACAATTATTTTTCTAAGAAACATGCATTCAGCCACAATGATTCACTACTTCTATGTAGTTCAGGTTCTCACATGATGTTTAAAGAGTAGGTTTCTCTGTCTGCAGTCATTGCAATTGCAGTAAGTCCATTCCTGACAAAGTTCCTACTTCAGGTTAGTAACATACAGCAACTCCAGTATTAATCATCAAGGATATATCTCATCTCCCAGTGGACAGCATTAAAGTAGTTTTTTTCCTACCCCTTTTTTCCAAGGGTAGACAGTTTGTGGTCCCAGGAATGTAAGGCTCCAAATTCAAAACTGTACAATGAATTCTGAGTAGCTTCCACTTCATGTGTTCTAACATCATCTGATTTACCAGTCCTCCTTAACCTACTTCTTACTTATTCCTACACTGTTTTCTAAGAGCAGGAATCCAAAGGCAGTTTACGTTAGATGGTGACGCTGAAAAAGAGCATGCAGTCCTAAGATTTCTGAAAATACTCCTCATACAGGCGGAAACAGCAACAGTACTGGCATGGGAGAATAAGATCCATCCCACAAGCAAAAGACCTGGCAATGCCAAGCTTAGTACACACAAACACACCTGAAGAATTTTATTACATTAGAAATTGTGAATCCCATCTGGGGGATCCAGAATAAATTAAAGTGCACAAAATTTGTATTTTCAAACAGGTTCTGAAAATATAATACTAAAAGGGGCTATCAATGCACTTAGAGCTGATTCATTAAGCAAAAGAAAAATTTTTTATTGTTCAGGAATTAAATCAATTGTTCCTATGCAGCATTGCTCCAACATTTTAGAACTCCTGCATTGTTTCTTTTTCAAAGTGAATGACGGATTTTCCTGCTTCTACAAGAGGGCTGATTGAAACCAACCAAATTTGCTGCAACAAATACAACATTCTCCCAGAGTCTGCAAAAACAACTATCAGTATCGGAAAGAATGGCAGTTGCCTTGTATTCACTCAGCAAACATGTACAGCTCGTACATTTGCTTTGAATGCTTTTAACAACTTTACTAAGTTTAAGCTGTTAGGCTGACATTTAAATAGATCATACACATCCAACTGAATATAAAGTGAGTTTGTTAACACAAAACAAATAAAACAGAAATTCTACTGCAAACTGTTCTCACTGTTATTCATATACTCTCACTCTTTTCACATACAAGTAAAATTAGTTTAAAGGAGAATCACAAGAAGATTCAAAAAAGGTATGGTAGAAGTGACTCAGGCTGAACTGGAATCATCGTAAGAGTACTTACTTGTTACTGGAGCTATTTCAGGTTAAGTCCTTTTTAGAGAGCTGAACAAAATTTGGATTCTTTCTTTTTCTTTTTAAACTTTCCTAGAAAAGTTATTATGATTTATATTACATCTCAGTATGTATGACTTCATTTTATCCTAAGTGCACTAGTGAGAAGAGCAATGCGTTCATCACACAGTAAGTGGAGAAGAATCAAGAAAGCAGAAATGGCTGAGGAACCAAACCATTTTGAACAAGTGGAAGCCAGTTTGAGGTACCATCTGTTACCAATAAATTCTTAATTCAATATCCATTGTGAGCATTCTTACCTGTAAGGTGCTTAAAAGATTTTGCATCACATAGGTCTTTCCACTAGATGTATGTCCGTAGATAAAGATGGATGGAAAACTAAACTGCTGACGCTAGAGGAAAAAAAAAGCTGTTGCTGTTTCAATTCTCCTATTTTTTCATTCAACAGATAAAAGATTTATCAATGAAGTTTCCCTCCAAAAGAAAAGTTACCTTTTAAACTGAAGCTTTAAATATAAAATATGTCAATTATTACACAATCAATGTGATCAAATTTTATGTTTTATCTTCACTAAAATGCTGGGAGGATAAGTTCCAAGAATCAAGTATCACATAAAGCTACCAGTGTAACTGCTATAACACGAGGATATATATTTCATGAGAAAAACAAACCAACCAACCAAACAACAAAAACACACACCAAGACAGAAAAGCAGTGGGCTATTAAATCAAATTATTTAACTAACTGAAACAAAATCTTGGCAAGCACAAATTGCAAGCTTACATTTTCCTGACTTCTGCAAACACTACAAACTGGTTTTCTCTCCGTTAGCATCAAACGAGAAAAAATCAAATGCTTTGGTGGAGGAGATGGTAAAGGAGCACACTCTTCTCTCACATGGCAATATTTGATATAATACCTCTATTTATTTAATGGTACTGGTGCTGCATATTTCATGGGGTTTTTTTTATTAAGATGCAAGGGAAATAACTAACTTCTTTTTATTGCATTCTGAACAGGTATTTATTTTTGTGTTTTTCTCATTTCTAAGAATCTTGTACACTGACTTGAATAAAAAAATAAATTTGACAAATATTTTTTATGAAAAACAATGACATTCAACTAATTCAAGAGGAAGGCGCTCTTGTGCAAGCTGTGCAGATAATCTAGCATGCATATTTAACAAGAATTTAAGTATCTGGTTTTTTTAAGACTTGTTGCCACTATGCTTGTAAAAAATACATAAAACTTAAATGCTGTAATTTGATGTATTGTTATCTATAAAGGCAGAACCAGAAACAGATACTAATTTCAATTTTGTTAACTGAATATAAATGTATGTATCAACTGCTTTTAACTTTGCAGATAAAAATATCCATTATTTTTTACCACAGCTTTGCCAAGCAGTAACAGAATCAATTAACACGCCAGTGATCTCCAAATCTTATGGCCAGCAACAGAACTACTAAGAATCAGACCAGTTTCATGTACTTAGAATTCAGGCACACAGATATTAGATTAACAGGTCAAAACCAAACAATTTCTACATGGCCACTAAAAAAAAAAATACCCTAGAACTTTAGACAAAGGAAGAAGAGAGACTCCCTTCCTGGTACTAAGTGGCAAGGAGGGAACAGGCTGCAGAGACAGCAAGGCACAAATAACTAAGTTTGTTCGGGCCCTTCCAGCTGCAAAACAGCTTTCAACGTTCCAACTTAGTAGAACCTATCTGCCAAACACTAATGTTGTATGATGTTTTATATTTTTCTATTCAAACATACAGTATAAAAAGCACTACCTCTCCAAATATTGACAGCAACATGGACACTTGGGATTCTCGACAAGGCACCAAACTTTCCAGTTGAAGCAGTGTAGCTGCTGGGTATGCTGAATGTTCAAGATTAGGCATTTTGATGTTCCTGTAGTTAGTCACCTAAACATGAATGTCCCATCTGAGGTGCAGAGACAAGAAATACAGTGATCTGGAAAACAAAAGGTTTTACTTATCATTTGCTGTCACATACATAAAGGACGGAAATGAACAGGAATTGACATAAAATCTAAACAGCCATTCTAGCTCAGGATAACAGTATAATTATAATAGACTTAAGAGACTTCATCAAAATTGAACTTTACTATGTAAGGCATTATACAGACATTTTCGCATCAGACAGAATCCAAAAAATCAAATAAAAAGGGAAAGGCATACAATGTATGAGCAAATCAATATAACACAGAATTGTCACAGTTTAGTTAACTGGAGAAATACATATTTAGTCCTGATTTTATATACATTTAAAAGCAGCAAGGGAATAAAATGAGGAAAGTAGATTAGTCACAGATCATCACCTCCGTGGGCAGCCAATAAATTAGGATTTACAAGTAACAGAGAAGAGGTAGGGCATAAGGAAAGGTGAGGATAACAAAACAATAGCTCTTCAGATGTTAACAGGAACGCCTACCCCAGCTTAAAAGCAGCAGAGGCATATGAAGAAAATCCAGCTGCTAGTCAAGACTGCAAATACTCCTTAAAAATAGTAAGGGCCCAAACCAGTTAGATAAAGCTGTAATATTAATTACAGCCTACCTTTTAGACAAGGACTAGTCAAGGAAGACTGAGTGTCTTGATTGTCCAAACACTGGGGAGGCTGGATTTTAGTGACAGGACATGAAAAACACCTCAGTCTAACATAGTACTTTGTCTGTGGCTTCTAAAACTGCAGGAAAGGTGGTACCTTTGGCTGTAGTGATAAGGACAACATGCAGAGAGAGAACTGAAGTAACCTCACAAGCTAGATTCTGACTTTGTCAAATATAACATAACTCAACACCCAAAAAGAAAGTCTGGAAATTTAGGTAGCACAATGAAGATCTCTCATTCACAGATAGGAATATCTGTAAGTTATCAAAACAAAGATAATAAATACTCCAAATACATTTAAATATAAGTATTTACAGCCAAATATAATATGCTTGGCATAAGTACAATACCACATGAGAAAAGAGTAGGTTAGCAGATCAGAAATAACATGGGTAATGAAAAAGAAACTGTTGTGAAGCAAAAAAGCAATACTGAGTTGCACTGAAAAGCAATATTGAGTTACACTGACAGGGGAGCTATTGGGCTACAAGGAGGTTCATAAATACAAATTTATTTACAGAAACACTTAATAGAGTTCGTTTTGGGACCAATCTCTATTAAGTATTTCCATAAATACATTCAAGGAAAGATTTTTTTTCTTTTATTTTTATACTTTGCCTTCAGTGTTTTCTGAAGTAAAAATCTGGATTGTAGAATCATCAATAGAAAAACAGGTGCAATTAATAAGGAAAAAAGGATAACCCCAATAACAGAAGTCAAGACAGTGTAATGAAATTCAACACTTCAAATTACACATATTTGTAAGTAATCATATCACACCATATCAAGAAACTGTAAGTCTGAAGCAACCTGAAAAATAAACAAGTCAATCACATAGTAAGTATGAGAAATCAGCTATCAAAAAACCAAATGCATAATCATATGTATCAGGCAAATTATTTCCCATACAGACAACCATACAAATAGCCTTGGCCTTTTATCAGATCAGCAAGATGAGCTTTGAACAGGTCTGCCCACCTGTCCACTCTATCTATTCAGTTATCTATTCAAAATGGAATGAAATTACAAAAAAATGAATAGCTTGATTAAGGTTGCTCTCTAAAAATGAGCTAGGAATAAATATCAAGGATGAAAAGGAAAAAAAAAAAATGGACAGCAGCCTCCAAAACGGAGGACAAACAAGGAGGAAAAGAGGAAAGACTGAAGTTTGCATGGATTTAAGAAAAAGGACAGCTTTTTGCTCTACTGGCTACATGAGAACAGGGCTTGACCAAATGTCCTAAATGTATCTAAAGCCATAAGTTATTTCAGTTTCTCCACTCCGCTGCTCAACTGCACTCCAGAAAAGCACAAATCGCCTGTTGATCATATCGTATCTGCCAGTCCTGTTCGCTTCTCAAACAGCCCTAGCACGTGTCAATTTATACTAAACACATTTAAGCCACTCGATGAAAACCTACATCTCTGCTGACTTAATCTTTAACAGGATCCCACCCTAGATTTCACAAGCGAAAGGATGTTTAGAGCAACATGTCCACGAAACAATATTTTAGATTAAATGGCAATGCTGACGCAAGGACTAGCATCAGCCAAAGCTTGAATTCAGGATGTTCCTGACCGGGACAGGTTGTACATGTGACTCCAGCCAGATCAGGAGGCACAAAAAGCACCTAGTTTCCAGCTGAGTCCAGGTAAGGATACCAAAAACACAAGTTAGAGTTCACGGCCGGATTTGATGGTTTAAGAGGACTTCTCTCAGTTCATTGATCCTAAAATACATACACTTGGCAGGTTTTTCTATACTTTAGCACAAAAAGTTGACAGATCTCAAGAGACTCGCACCATTCTGCTTCCTCTCAGGCCCTACGAGCCCCCCCGCCCTGCAACAACACCGCCGGCCCTGGCTGAGGGGGAACGACGACGCTGAGGGACTAAGGTCTCCTGCAGCCCCGCGTCTGTGAGGCTGCGGCCGGGCCTCGGCCCAGGGGGCAGCTTGGACCCCGGCAGGCCGGG